CGTATGTGTGTATGCACCCTCTTGATCTATCTCTAAACTCTTCTTCCGTTAATCTTCCAAAGATCTACAGATATCGATGGGCTATAAAGTTGATCTGATCAAAGACAAGATCGTTTATATGATAGACATAAGATATATCTAAAGCTGACCGTATAGGGCATATTGGTCTTACCTTAAAGCTTGAGTCAACTTCCCGGACCCCACCGGTTGACTTGAGTCTCGAGGGCAAAATTCCTCACGTAAAGCTTTTCAAGATCCCCAGTATATCATCAACTCGAAGGGCATTGGCAAGGGTAAGTCAAAGGATGGGTGAGATGAGCTCAAAGAGAAGCAAATGATCCAGTAGGGTATTCTCAAGGGCAAGTATGCATATTAGTTTGGCAGTGTAAGCTTGAGGGTAAACAAGAGCTCAAGGGCGAATAAAATCTTTGGGAATTACCAGGATAAGCTGAAGGGTGTATACAAAGTAAAACCTTTGGTCGGATCAAGCTTGGGTCAAAGTCAATTATGCAACAGTTCTGGCCATGTGATAAACCCAAATGGATCGACATCCACGGGATTGAGAAAAATTTCAGATGTTTTTTGTTTGGTATGATATGATGAAAGAGAATTGATTTTGAAGATTGATTCAGATAAGAATTGATATCAATATGGTTTGTACGGTGAAGTATTCTACAGGGTCATTTGAGTAAATTATATAGGGTTGAATGATTCCCCTATGATTCATGAGCGAAATTTTTCTGCTCAATATCTTGTCAAATCATGTGATATTGTGCAAGGGTTTCCTTTGAAATTCAGGAACTCAGTTTGCTCAACGTAGTTTTGTCAAAGGGCATTCATGTACTCTCAGAAAAGAATGAGTCAGTTCTGAGTATTGAATTGATTCACTTGAAGGAAACCACTATTTACCGCCCGGAAGAAAAAACCCAATGCCCCCTTTGTTTGGGGTAATACCCGCAAAGGTCCGCGCTGTACCGAGCCATTTTGGCATAGCAGTGGCCCCGGGGGGCGGTATACCGGGCAATTTTCGCGGGCGATGTAGCCCGCAATTACAGAACCGGGCAGTATTGTGTGATTAACCACCATTCCAACAGGGCGATAACAAAGTCGGCCACTTCAATCCCAATCCGTCCATCCATCAAGCTAACCATTACAAACACACCAACCACCGCAACTAACCACCACAGCACCAACGCCTCTTGCCCTGTATGCAGGGCAACCAACATCGAATCAAGGCAAATCAACAACAAAAGATGGTTTGCCTCATGATGGTGAGTGCCCCTTGTTTATGAAAACAAAAAGGATATCCTCCCTCCTTCCTTCACTGATCGATCCATCCTTTGTTTGCCTTCTACAGCCATTCACCTTTCTCACTTGGAACTCCTACAATCTTTGCTCTATCTTATCACTGTTCAGCCTCAGCCGGATGTCTAAGCAGAAGCAAAGCAATATTGAGTCAACATCCTCAACTCTGATCAGCTCAAACTCAACCCAATCAACTACAACTCAGTCCAATTTACTCTATCAACCTCCATCCCTTTATCATCCTTCACAACTACCACCACAAGTATGGATGCCCTTTCCAAACCCCTTTTTATTTGCCAACCCAGCCGGAAATACCATTGTTCCTCAACTTCCAAACACGCAGCAATCACAACCAGCCTTCATTCCGAATCCGCTTTATGCCGGACCCCTCTCCTTTCCAAACCCTGGCCTTCAATTGGTTTCAAACTCAACTAGTCCACCTTCTGTCCCTAATGAAAACAAAGTCAACAATTGGCCTGTACTTCACACCACTGGTACGTATATTCAATGTGGTTTGGATTGATTGTTAGGTGTTCAACTGACCTGTCTTTGCCTTATGCGCCACAGAGGATGCCAATGAAGAAGAAACGAGTTTAGATGTAGATGATCTTGACACCAAACAAGACTCAGATTGGCCTCCTATCGGTAAGATTTTCTTTCCCTTGTCTTTGAATCATACTCGAATAATGTTGTTAATCTGCTTTACATCCTTTACTTTAGGGGCTGAACCGGTGCGGAGAAGGGAAACACCCAAGATTGGGAAACAGTTTATTGACCGGGAAAATGGACTTATGTACATGAACGAGGTTGCACGACATCAAGGGTATGTGTTATTGGTCAAAAGCCACAAGACCAACAAACAACAGATCATCCGGACATATCTTGAGTGTTCAAAAGCCAATAGTCACGTCAAGATCAAACCTCCACTTGAAACCGATGAACCTAAGGACCCGGGGAAAGTTAGATCCTCTTCATCCAAGAAGACCGGTTGCACCTTTGAGGTGTCTCTCAACTTCCACTCTTCGAAGGGACGATGGGTGGTCACCTCTGACGGTGAAAAGAACCCTAAAAAGAATACTCACAACCACCCACCATTCAACAAGCCCTCTGGTGAAAGCCAATATCGACGGATTGGACCCAAGAAGGACGAAAAGGTTGCCTTACTCTTCAGCAGGATGCCGACCTTGCCAGATTCGAGCTCTTATTAACACCGCACCCGGAAGTTCACGACTCTTGGTTCGAGATATTTATAACGCGCGAGCTCGTCACAAGAAGACTTGGCTCAATGGAAGAACACCTATTCAGGGATTATTTGATCTAGTGACTGAGCTCAACTGGGCATTTCGGACCATCACGTCAGACACAGGAGTCCTTCAATCTTTTTTTTTCGCATCCCCTAATGCAATTTGCCTCACTCGTCGATTTCCAACGGTCCTCAGTATTGATTGCACCTACAAAACGAACCACTTCAACTTGCCCCTCCTCCACATTGTCGGTACCACGAATACTCATAAATCATTCACTGTGGCACTGTGTTTCATGCATAGTGAAGTTGAAGATCAATACGAATGGGCATTGAACCAACTGAAGGCCATCATCTTTGAGTCAAATGACTCAACTGAAAACACCACCTCTATTTGCCAACCAAAGACATTTGTCACCGATGCTGAACCGGCTCTATTCAATGCTATCGGTAAGGTATTCCCAGAATTTAGTCATTTGTTGTGCATCTGGCACATAAATGATAACATGGGTAAGAACTGCAAGAAACAGCTAGGATCCGAGTGGGATAACTTCATCGCAGCATGGAACAAATTTTGTTTTTCATCTACTGCGGCGGACTACGACTCAAATATGAAAGTTCTCACTGATATCGCTAAAAAACACGACATCCTTACATACCTTGAACGGACTTGGCTACATCAAACAAACAAATTTGTCCTCCTCTTCACCTCTTTGACCCCACACTTTGGCAATTCCTCTACCTCTAGAGTCGAAGGCAGCCATTTTGGTTTGAAGACATTTATTGAAAGTAAGAACGTCGATTTTTTGACCTGTTTCAACGCATTCAAGTGAAGACCACTGTGGTCGTCAAAAGTGGTCAATCCAACGATCAATTAATGTTGAATCAACTACCCGCCTATATTTCACCGTTCATCCGGTCAATTCATGATCCTCCAGCATATGGTAATTGCGGATTCTATGCAATTGCCGCATCGATGAACAACTTTTCGAAAGGCACCTACCTGGTGATCCGGAAGGCACTTCAAGCTGAACTGACTCTGAACGCACAAGACCATGTCAAGTTGATGTCCACACCATCCAAACGACCCTGTAGAAATACAAAGGTTCAGAAATTGATGGGGGAAAACTTTGTGAAAGAAATACTAGGTTGGCTTGATCATGAAGGCATCTCGTGCCCAAGCAGTACTGGCTGAGGATGCCAACACTGGGATTCATCATCGCCAGTGCATTTGATCGTCCAGTGATCCTTCTTACTCCCGCCAGAAGCAGCTGTTACAGCTTCTTCCCATATCAAACACCACCCAACAAACAACCTCCGATCATACTTGCTTTTGTGAACAATGATCACTTTATCAGTCTGGGAGTTGGGGACAATTTGGTACCGTATCCTGAAGTTTATGGGCAGGTTTTGAATTCAGAAGTGCTTAATAGCACTCAGATGCCGCGATGGTTCGAGGCTTTCCACAAAGAGTTGGAAATGTGGGAAAACTTAGTTTAGTTTGGTTTTACATTAGATCTTCATTGTTATTCAATTGTTTTGTGGCTGTCTCTCCTTTATCTATTCTGCTGTACCTTGTTTGTCAATTTGTAATGAACCAGATTGTGTTTTAAACACGGCACTACAATGCATTAAGGACCACAATGATTGTGAGATGAGAACTATAAGAACTTGGAGTTCTATCTACAAGAATTTGAGATTTAAAAAAACGGGCGGCGTCATGGTTACCGCCCGGGCGGTATCCGGCAAGGGGGCGTCGGGTTTTTCCAATCCGGGCGGTAAATAGTGGTTTCCCACTTGAAAATCACATTTTGACTCTAAAAGTGCTTACTTTTATTTTCATCATAATTGAAGTGAATACAAATCTTTTGGGGATTGATGAGATTCAATTATTGAAGGAATGTATATGATGCTTAATATTTTTTGGTGATCTTCTATTACAACAGTTTTTATGAAAAGAAAGGATTGAAATGAATTGATTTGGATTTTTTAGTATAACCCAAATAAACATAAGAATAAAGCTCACGATGAATAATTAGAAGAAGAAGAAGAAAAAAAAGTAAGCTTATCGCCAGAAAAAAAAAGTGGATCTTAATGTACATGCTTTTGAAGATGGTAAATTGCTACAAAAGAAATGATGGGAAATTGCCTGTTTTTCTCATAGGTCTTGAATGGTTAAAAAGAACTTCAAATGATCCGATGAAAAACAAAAAAAAAACTCGAAGCGATATTTGGTCACCATATATGATTCTTTAACCTCACTCTCGCATAAAGAAAAGCTTTAAATCTTTAGCTTAACTTGGCGGGCAAGGATAAATCCCATAAGACTAGGTATGGATTGATAAGAACCTTTAATCATCTTGATGGATTGGTAATCCTAAATCATATCTTGGCATCGTAATACCTGATTTTCCGTGCCTCGTTTAAAAGTCACTCTTCAAGTTTTCATTCTTCATCTCCAAGCTAACCAAGTTGTTACTTGTCCATTTGAGGAACCATCACTTCCACTTTGTTTAGTTCCTGAAGATGATGCTGTCGAAGTCGGACCAGCCGGCGTCGAGGTTGGCTCTAAAGTGCAACTACTACAAGCTAATTTTGCCCATAAAGATGAGAAGAGTTGATGGTTTCAGTTGGTGTGACTTTTTTCATGAAGCACAAGATTACGATTATCCTTACAGGCATATCCACTACAACTTCCTGTGCATGTATATGATTCGTTACTTGAACTCATACATGCTAGAGTCGATTATGGAGATGATGAAAAAGAATCAATACCATGATGATCATAGGATGATTCAAAGAGATTCACTCACTTGTAACACCAGCTTCACCAGCATCGTAATTCACACACTCAACAGAAGAAACATAGGCATGTGTAAGGTCCGCTGTGCAACTCTTGCAAGCTAAAAGATAAACCCAAGAGGTGATAAGGAGACGATCGATGATTGAGAGGATGTAGAGAATGAAAAGATTTGAAACTGATCCTACGTACTTGAAGTTCCTTGACAAGAAGACGAAAGGCAAGTTAAATGTACCGAAGGTTGTGGAGCACCTTGACATGCAACCCGAGGATCTAAGGAAAAATAAAATAATGAATTTAAAAATAAATCAGAAACAAGCATGATGAATGTCTGGATTTGTTAAAACTACTTTGGAGTGAAATTGAGTAAGATGGATAAACTTTTTGACTACTTACTTGAGACAGTAGAATCGATTTTGGGAAGAAAAGTCATTGTACACGCTTGTGAGACCACATCTCCACAGGAGATAAACTGTAAACCAAAGCTAGCCCATAAAACCAATGTGAATCTAAAATTTGTCCAACTCATCATACCAATGATTTGTTTATTGGATTCCTAAGCAAGAAGCACTTGTGGCAAAATGACGATAAGCAAGATAATCAAGAAGTGGATCACGTGACTCTGAATCGATCTTTGAAGGTATCTGTTGAGTAGAAAACTTCTGAAGATGCTGATGGAGAATTGGACTGGGCCACGTTGAAAGATGATCAAAGTAGGGGAAAAGGTTTGATAAAGAAGTCGTTTGAGTAAAATTGAAAACTTGAAGTTGAGAAAGTGAAGTTGAATGAGATTATTACGCTGGGACTATGAATGAGAGTCAGACCAGCTTTTAAACTAACTTCAATCAAGTATCGTCGGGAGTTTGAGAGAGAATAAAAGACAACTCATTACATATCTGCTGCGAAAGTTTCCAGATGATACAGAATATTGTCGTAGTCGAGATCTGAGGGGGGCACTGTTCATGGGTTCAGCTGACCTCAAACTTGTAAGAACTCTAGGAACTAAAACGCAAGCGGTTCTTCCGGAATCGATAGGCGAGCATGTAAGGAAGATCAAAAGGGTTGAAAATGTTGCCCATGTCCTATATACGGAAGAACAGCTCGATGTTTCCGGTAAAACCCGTAAAGGTGATTAAATAGATTTCTCTACTGTGACTGTATCCTACCCCAGCTTATGATGGCTTTTGATATCCTATAAAATTGGTCATCTGACCTACGCCCTTCGCTCAGGTGATCAAATAAGTGTTCAATGGTCGAATAGTTGTGTCAATGGGTGACCACGGAAATTGTATGTGACTTTCCATAAGTCCCAGGCAACTTTATCCTCTCGAAAACTATTTTCACTTTATGTTTTCCCCTTTGAGAAACGCATGTCATTGTTGCGTCTGGTTGATCAATTTGCAAGGAAAAACCTTAAGCTCGCAGGCATCAATTCACTAGTGCAGATGTAATAGAAAGGCTTCGGGTAGGACGGGCAAAGTTTCCAAGGAGCTGAAGTTCGATGGCGACATTGAAACTTTCAAACAAAATTTAGGGCACTCAGCCGGAATCTGAGTGTGTGCAAGAAGACTGCAACTTCAGGTGCTGCCGAAGTTTTCAAAAGAGAAGTGAGATAGGAGTAGGATCTACGCGAGCTCTGGATTCCTTCTTCCATCTTGCACTCCTAATCCTAAGAAACCGACTTCAAAAAAGGATCGGAGCCATGTCCATGTCACCGTGGAACGAGGATTTAGGTGATCAAGTTGGATGTTTGGTCCATTCAGTGCAATCCCGAATTTACATAATTCCCTCCTGTCTCGGTGTATAGCCTTGAGTCTTGACTATCTCCCGATTGTATATATGAAGAATCTGTATCTCGGACGTTACCTCAGACGCTTATCACGGTGAACATGAATGATACTCAAAACACAAGTCCGTACCGAAAGTAGAGAATGGGATTGCACAGCACGAGTTTGACCGTTACTAGTCTACTAAATATCCCCTTAGTTGAACCGATGACGGCATTGATGCATTTGATGAAACTGTTGCGAAGTTGATCATGAGAATTTTAAACTTTTGATCAAGAAAACTAAACAGGTAATCTGTTTCAATCGAATGATATACAATAAATTGATCATTGGATATGGTCTTATATGGTCCTATTGAAAATGCTCAAAGGATTGTCATTTTTTCATTTGTTAGTGGGAGCACGACAGTGAGTTGCAAGAAGTTGCACCTCTGGTCCAAACGCCTGAAAGTGGGGGGCCCCACGGGGCGAGCAGCTTAGGTATTGAAATTCTTCAATCCTTATCTCTTGTCTATTTCTGGTTCAGTTTGTGATTCATGATTCATACATAGTCGCATTGAATGAAGTTCTTCAGCCTACAGATAATGTTACCAAGTTCCGAGATGAATTGTTCATACAAGACTTTCTACCATGAAGTGACTTAAGTCTGAACAGGTTTGGACCGCATTTATGTTTGAAATCGCATCCGAATCGGTCAGTCTCATTGGACCCTGCAGCGGATCCCCAATCTATCGTCTGTGCCAATGCCCACGGGAGGATGATCAGGGATGATAGGCGATCATAGCGGGGTCATCCAGTAAAGCTTCACTCATCACATGTGCTTCACTTTGATACATAACCATACCTAGAGAACTAGAGATATTCGTCTGATGTGGACGGCGATAAGTCCCATCGCATGCTCTCATCGATTTTTTAGATCGCCAGGCTATTCATTAGATGCTCCAATTCTGTGGAGTGCACATGCCCAATCAGCGATTTCCTCAATCACGCAATGAATAAAACGAGAATCTAAGCACCATTGTGACTTGTTCCATGGCTCTTTTTTGAATTGGCTTATTACAAATACGAATGGTTATTTCGGCTCGTTGATCCGGCTCGTGCGGCTCGTGCCGGGCTCGTGCCGGAGCCATCACGAGCTACCGTGAATCATGCCGAGCGCTCAACTGATCGAAGTTACTCAGTCAATCAGTCACAAACCGTGGATCTGTTGAACGAGGACAAATCCAACAAAGTTTGCTATCCTGAGTTTTCTCTTCGCCTCCGCAAAAAAGTAGTATGTAGCCCAAGATGACAACTTTTCCCCTTTTGGCTTATCTTTGGGGTTAAATCATCTCAAAGGTGTTTATCACGTCTTTTCTTGAACGGCATCCAATCTTTTCATATTTCCCATCCTCACCTGAATTTTCTGCTGTACATTATAACTTGGAACTACAGAAAATACTGAAATATGTGGTCATGGCAAACGCGGAATGTGACTTGCGCCAATTCGTCCTTTGGTGAAATATTCATGACAAAATACACATGATGGTCACGAAAAAATTAAGATATGCTTTTGAGCTTTTACCATCGGCTTTAGCTTTATGGAGACCGTTTTCATTCAGGTTTGGGACCAGAGATAACCGCTTGTACTCCGACTCTTATGTGTTCTCGTCGAGCTTCGATTTGTTGTTGACGAATGTTGAGTTGATGCAAACGCTCGTCAATCCGTTCCATGCATGTATCCATGCGATCGATTTTTTGCTTCAAAATATCTTGACCATCTTGAGCAGTCTTGCTGAACCGATCCATAAGAAGCTGACACGATTTAGTTCTCTCATCTAATGACATCTCGCTATATGGTAGGTGAGCTCGAGTTAATTGGGGTCCCATCGCGAGACCAGCACTCAAATCCGGATACTTATCAAAAGTACTTCCACTAATTTGGCTCTCATCACGAAAGTTAACATCATCTTGGCCGTCATGCCAATTTTCTCCACTGCTTCCGAATGGTTCACCGTCTTCTGACATGTAAGGAGTGATATCGTCGACCTGATTGGAATTGACAATTTCGTCCAGCGCATCTAACATATAACAGAAGCTCGTTACTTCTCTGTATTCGCGCCACTGGCTGTGCTGTTCCAAACAAAGAGAAACTTACGTCCGGTATCTACATAAAGTCACAAATATCTCAAGCGTCAATGGGAAAGTCTAATACTATGAATCAAATGGAGACCACTGACCTTTTGCCATCTCTTGCCCCTCGTTCTCGCTTTTGACTTCGTAATCTTCATCTCGGAAAAGTGGAGGTGTCATTCTTGGATGGGACGAAGCTTCCATCATTCCAAGGTTGGAATTGGTGGTAGAATAGCGAGGCCTTCGAGGGGGAGACTGTGGGACAGAATCAACGTAGGAAATTTGTTGATGGGTCATTTTGCGAGGCTGTACATATTGGATGGAATGTCAGCTACCGCACTCCCATAATTTTCAGCGACGGAGTCAATGATCCTAGATGAGACTCTGCAAGAAAGAATCAGCCCACACTAGGCGAGACGATTCCTCTTTCCATGCGTTTCCTCTTTTTGCGCTCCTCGTTGGTATAAAGCGTTATCCCGGGCTTCTTCAAGCTCGCACTTCCTGCACGTCTCGAAGACGTGGTGGGAACAGCTTCAAAGACGAGTTGGAGGTTATGTTAACACTCTGATTGACCGCATCAAGAGCAGATTAAGCGAAATCAACTCCACTCACCCTCAGTATTAGCTGAAGAGTGCCTTTCGTAAGCTCTATCGGGTTGCCTGGTCTTATCCGATTCTCTAGACCTTCGTCCATTGGGCGATTCTGGTCGGTTGGAGGGACTTTCCATCATGATCGTGACCGAAGGACTTGAGGCAAATCTGGACCTCTGGACAGTGGATGAAAATTTTCCAGGACTCTGAGGCACACGTCCGACAGCAACGGGTGGTGGAGGTGGAGGGAGCATATCGCCTCTTTGATGACCTTCGAAAGTCACTTGTTTTTCATTGACTCGTGCGGATTCGCGCGTCAAAATCGGTTCAAATCGTTTTCTATGTGACTTTGAGCCCGATCGCGTTGGGGTATCAGTCATTGAAAGATAGTCTGAACGTGATATATTGTGATCTAAAAGAATTGAATGGTGGAGATGTAAAATGATTACAGAATATCTACTCAGATCATGACTGGAGGGGAAGTCAACAGTCAAGATCAGGGAGGGAAATCTAGATTTTATATCAATCAACCTTACCTTGACCAATCAAAGATTATTGTAAGCCACTTGATCAAATGACGTCAGCTAGAAAGCGATCATGGCTTATTTGATTTCGATAGGCTGTGAATCACTCATTTAGCTTGTTTACTATTCACATGAAATCAAGATACCATTTCAATGATAAGCCTCATAGCCGATTGGGGGGTGATTGCAATTTTTTCAAAAAGAATTGCGCGCCGCAGGGAACAAAACTTGCCCAAATCAAAGATTTTGCGAGTCATGATCATGAGCAGCGGACTCGCTCTTGAATGAACTCCCGGTGATCATTGGGCCTTGCTCATCCATTTACACAGCTGGCTTATTGAGGCTAGTAGCTTGAAGTTTGAGGCAGATTGGTCAAGATCGGCGAATGGAAGCGGATGAAGATCATTGCTCGCGGGGAAATCTTTGCATACTGGCCAAATAAAACCTCAGTCAGAATCTGATGAATGGGTTTGGAATGGTTTTGCACGGCGACACATTTTCAAAAAAAAGTCAATCATTGTCAAATCGGCTCTAGGTCAGGTTTCAGTCAAAGTGCTGAACCTTCAATTCGTGATACGAATTGAAAAATTGATCTTACACATCCATCCCTTTGCTTTACACCACTAATGAGATTCTGAAAATAACAAAAGACCATATCACAGACAATACCTCATGCTTTAGCAGCTATTTCCTCAAGCTCGCCGTCACCAACTCTTCAATAGGCTTAAAATTCACACCATGTATGCAGGTTCCATCCGAGTCAGCTCCCTTTCCAAATTGCACAGCAACAGACAGGACGTATCGATCAAGTGCTATCTCGCGAGGAAGGTGGAGGATCGTATTCCAGATAGACCAGCCTTCACAAACTTTCCCATCTACGGAGAACTTGATATCCACTTGTTGCTCCATCTTCATAATCGTGGGTTCGGAGTAGACGAAGAAAGATTGGTTTGAGGGAGGAAGTGCTGAGAAATTGATGGTTGTCAGTTCCCTTGATAGACCCACACCCATTGCTTTCACTACAGATTCCTTGAGAGTCCACAGCTGAAGTAAATGATCCAGGAGGATCTCGTCGGTAGTACGTCCCGAGGGTGATGATGAAGGCTGTCTGATCAGATCATTCTCGGTACCGGTAAGTGACTCAGAGAGCATCTCGGCGAACGTCTCAATGGACTGTTCTCCCCGTGGTAATTTCAGTTGCATCACATCTACGCCGATTTTTTGAAGGAACTGAGAGGCTTCAAAAGTTGCTATATAGCCACAAACAATCAAATCCGAATCGTGCGAGATGTTGTAATCGAAATATGCGTGATTAGGTAGTTGGCTCGACTGTCAGAATGCAGAAAAGCCTTGGTTTGGTGTTCTTCTTCAAAAGCGTATGCAGCAGGATAACTGACTAACCATGTATGGTCGACCTAGCTCTGTCCGCGAGAACTTCAGGGAGGTCGGATTCAGACCATAGAGCTCGAAGACGATAGCACGCACCAATAGCTTGCCAACCAGACATCCTAACAAGGCACGAGAGCTTCAGAAAGAAAGCAATATTGATACAATCGTCTCATTTGATGCACGAAACCGCGGTTATGATATGACCACATGGTTCTACGATTGAAAAAGGAGTGATCGAGGTCACCTCACTCTTTGAGTCGATCATATGGCGATATGAGGTGACGTCCTTTTGGCTTTCAAGATCCAATGCATCGACTAAAGACTTCCATTGCTTCATTCAAAATTTCAACCATGATAGATTAGTAAAACGGACACGGATCATTCCAAAAACGAACCAACTCACTGCCTGAGGTGGGTCCCATGAATGAATGTCCACTGCCCAAGTGCCAAGCTGAGATACCATTGTATGAAGAATCTGCCTGACGTTGTGCGGGGGTCTTCCCCAGTGGTCAGCTAAGGCTTGCTCTGGATTTCATCCTCGTGTAAACCCATGGATCAAGTCTGACATTATGGCTTTGACTAAAACTTAATTTTGCCATTCCATATCCAGAACACCTGACATCCAGGTCAGCTGGCCAAGATCACATGACAGTTTCCAAATTCAACATTGATCCTTATCTTATAGTCTCAGTTCTGGCTTCTTGTTCAATATCAAACCTCACCATCACAAGTGATAAACTAAATAAATTTACCTCTTATAGAAAGGTCATAAGGAGTTCACAATGGCTCATATCAAGCCCCTTTGATGATTTCCTTCAGTCTGAAATTCAAAGCAGAGCTTGGGGTGAGTGTTTTATACCACAAGCCTATTCCAATTCTGTATGGAATCCAATCTAATCACAATTTCACCTCTCATGTGCAAAAAGGATCTTTAGGATTGTATCCCTGATGAAAGGATCCCTGTTAATGTTTTTCATTTCTAAACACTATTTTACCTCAGTATCCCCCATCCCAGAGTGGGCTTTGAGCTTCAGGTGCAAATATCTAGATATCCAAATGATCTATGTAAAGTCATGAATCAAAAAAATGAATTACACTTGCAAAAAAAAAAATCCAATTGTATCTCAATCAGAATGAGCACCTAAGAAAACCCAACTAGATATTGATGATGTGGGAAGATTTTGGAACTAAAATGTCAATCCATAATCCAGTGAACAGATAAGAAATTGAATTTTGATTGTGTAATTTTCTTTGAAACCTGTTTGAGAAAGTATGAAAAATAAAGTTATCCAGATCTGGTGATCAAAAGATGATTTCATTTTCAATGATTCACTCATAAGCCAATATATAAGGTTATGCAAGTGATCTGAAAAAAATATTATATAAAGTAACACCATGATTGTCACAAAGGTTTGAGAGATAAGAAGATTACCTTTTTGCATAAATAGAGAAATACATACCACAATTTGATCACAAACTAAGATTTTGTTCATCAATGAAATTTAATATTTCAGTAAAAGGTTCAAAGGTTCAAGATTAATTACAAGAAAAAAAAATCATAGAAATGAAGAAATTAGATTGGTATTTTCTGATACAACATTCATTTATTTTTTTACAATTAAATGCTCATGAATATCAGAATTTGAATCTAGAGATCGAAACAAAAGAAGTTTTGAATATCTCAAGAACAAAAGGAGAAAGTGAGCACTGATCATTTATGTTTTGAAACTACAAAATCTGGTGAGATGGTAAGGATTACTGATCTCAAGCTTGCCTCTTGATTTTTCAGTCAATCATGAGGAACTTGACAGAGATGAAGTAAGATGTAAAGATAAAATTGAACAAAACGTTGAACCCACTGAGTCTGAATTAAGTACAGAAGATCAAATCAATACATTTTGGAACTCAAGTAAGTTTTCAATTTGTTCAATTAAAACTTATCCAACTCTTTGAATCCAAACCCTATCTGTTTTAAAATCCTTTTTTTCTAGGTAATGGAATCATTAAATTTAAGAAAACCTATCTAGAATCAAATCATCCAAGATTAGTTGACCAAATCAATGAACTAATCCAATCAAATCTACAAACATGGTATAAGAAAATCAATGAAATATTTCAAAAGATTGAATTAAGAAATCATAATAAAAGAGATATATATGAAGAAATTGGATTATTTCAAATCTTTCATCATCTTTCAAATCAGTTTGAGTTACCGTTAAAACTGATTAATTCAATTTGGATTGAATTACTTAAAATGAGAGATATGGGAAAAACATATACTTATAAGACCTCCAACAAGATTTGGTGGATTGAAGTTGATATTGTAATAAGATTTTATGAATCCAAGATGATGGAAAATATCAGTTTACTTGAATCAGGAAGGTAAGTAAACAAATCAATCTTTCATGTTGATGACTCTCAGTGAGTCTTACAATGATATCAAACTTGAGATTTATAGAAGTCTTACAGCGTTTGTGATCATGCAAGAAGAATTGGATGAGTATGGGGTAAAATTAATGGGTCATTGGTCACCAGAAGATCAAAAGGAACTTTTCAAACTATGGATCTCTGGTAAGCAAACCAATCAAAACATGATTTTTTTCCTTTATTGAAGTTGAAGGACATATCATACTGAAATATGGAAATGATTAGATGGTATGAGACTTTACTCAAAGTTAAAGTGGAATCCAAGATTACAAAATCTTATAGAAACTCAAATTGTTCAAACCAATTTAATTAATTCATTTCAAATCCTTAAACTTAATCAAAGAGCAATCTCTTTACAAGAAACTAGGTCAATTTTGATAACTCAATCAAGAACTGTTCTTGAATATATTAAGAGTTTGAGACATGGAATGTGAGTTTTTTTTCTTCTTTTGATCTGTAAGTCAAAAGTATTCTGAATTGATGGATTTCTACAATATGTGTAGTACTATGAAAGATTTCATTTCATGGCAGATTCTGATCCAGCCTTACGGTTTAAAGGTATCTGAATCTTTAGATCTAAAAAATCAAATCACAATTATCAAGTTCTGGTCCACTTGTAAGGACTTCTAATTAACCTTTGTAAAAGCAAAAAAAACACCTTTCAAAAACTGATCAATCCTTTTTTTTTCTTTTTCATGATTTTATAAAGATGTAGAAATATTCTTAATGATGAGAAGTTCTGAAATCACAAAAAAATTAAAATCTGTTATAGAAACTTTAGTAATTAAAGATTTTCATCAAACAAATCAAATCATGCAAAAGTTTCTTAAAAATATAAATGAGATTGATTTTTTGACTTTGACTTGTCATCATCTCTTTACTCAATTCTTAGAGTTCTTTGTAATCAAAACTGAAATTCAAGATTGTAAGAAGTTGGCTTTGAAAGCTTTACAGGAATTTTCTTTTGAATAGTTGTTTTATATGTTTGTATAGTATTTATAGTCTACTCCACAAGGAAGCTGATCATTAAATTCCCCTCATTGATTCCTGCACATTGTCAACTTCAAAGTGGTCTAGATCATTCCACTGGGATGATTATGAGGGGTGCACTTCTGTTGGGCGTACTCTACACTTATTATGGAGTAGGGAAGGGAAAGTGTGGTCTTCACATGGTACATCCAAGTGAAGACTACAGCTAGTTGACCTCTAAGAAGAGGATTTGAGAAAGAGAAGAGAAGACTAAGGGCACTTAAGAGCCAGTGCGCTCTAACCTTGTGAGACTGAAAGGGGCAGGCTTTACACTTTGGTAAACCAAAGATCCTGGAGGCTTAGACTCTTTAAAAACAAGGCAGCTTTGCTACTTCAAGGTTTATCTCTAGAGACAATGAATGCCCTGGGCTTGTAGAAATCAGTACCTTGGGTGTTCAGCAATGGAATCTGTAATGCTCAAGAATGGTCTTCAACAAACTACACAACCAACCACACACTTGAAGATCCTCTCAACAGGAGTCAAGTAAAACATGGCTCTGTGTTGTGATGGTAGTAAAAGATGGGGGATGATTCTACATAGGGAAGAAGGGGGGTTTATATAGTCTCACTTCCAGCATCAACTTGTGATTGGTATGTGAGTCTTGTCTATTCACCTGTCAACTTGTGGTTGACACTTGGGTTAGGTTTATTATGCATTTAATACATTACATACATGTGTTTAAGTGACTCTTGACACTGAGCCTTGAGATGTAGCTTATGGCTTCATCCAATACTTTAAAATTACATATGGTACTGTTAGTCAGTCTGTTAGCTCATGTCAGGATTAGGGCTATGACCCGGTGCTGAGTGTCCATGGCCGGGCCAGGCCATGGGTAGATCCAAAGACCTTTGTGATTTGGGTCAGGTTGGTCAAGGCGTGCCCTGATTTATCTGGCTCAGGGCCAGGTAGGGCATGGCTCAGTTTGGGGCGCCAAGGAGAAGGGATGGAGTGGGGATAATAGCATACTTGTATTTCAATTTTAAGCGACATAGACATTTTTTGAATGACATCATAAAATTGAAAAGAAACAACATGTTTTGATTGATATAATCCTAGTATGAAATTGAAAAATATTTTATTTAAAAAACTTGAAGGACACAATTTTTTTAAATTGCTTTGGAGATATAACCATACTAGAAGGTAAAAAGAAGTAAACAGATACTTGGGAAAATAGATTTGCAACTGATTTAAGACCTAACTCTTTATTCCAGCTCTTGACACACACCTGAGCCTCAAGATTGAGGGGAGTGAATGAAGCACAATGATCAATCATAACTCTCAAAGAACTAGAAAACGTACTCTCACTAGGAGCACTAGTTGCAGGCACAGCAAGCATCACAGCTGCCATGCGTGCTAAGATAGGCCAATGATGTTGATGGGTGAGCCAGAAATGAAGAACATCACATATTTCATCTTCTTGAGGTGCAGTCAGATATTCTCTTACTTCGTCCTCAACTGGAACAGTTTTGCGGCGCTTGATGAAGTGCTGAGGGAGATCAGGGTTGATAACTGGATCTTTGCATCGATGATTTCAATCTCAAGATCATGAACAGGTCTGAATTTGCGGGCTTGACTGGTAAAGTATTCAACCAAGTCCTCAGAACCCCAGCCAAGAGATTCTAAAGTGGAACCATTTGACAGCAAAAATCTTGAGGCAAGGGTTGAGAATCACAGAACAAATGTAAACTGCCTTGTTCTGGGCAGCAGTTTGATAATGAACTATCTTTTGCAACATGGGGAGCATCGCAACCTTCAACTCCTTGCAAGTCAAGTCATGCCAGGCCTAGATACAAGTTGATAATCAGCTTCTTGTACATAGATGACATAAGATGATTAGAAATTGAAAAAAACTTACCTTTTCAATGCGTTCCACCAGCCATTGGTAATCTGGCATCACCTGCAAGAAGGTGGGGTACTTGTGACCCTCTATTGATTTGGTGACAATAGCTAGCGGAGCAAGGAGATGCACAATTCTTGGTACAAGCTCCCATTTGTTGTCTTCAAGGGAAAATTGTTTGAGGGAAGGATCACCTTCACATTGATACTTGATGACACGTTTAAGCTTGTAGAATCTTTCGAGGGAAGCATGGGTTGATGACCATTGGGTTGAAACTTTGTGAACTAACCCCACTTTAAGATCCAACTTCTGACAGCTGGCAATAGCATTGTCAAGAGCCATCTTGAGTTGGCTGCTGTGCTTGACCTTCTTGTGGAAGGCATGGATTCGGGTAAGGATGGACGCGAGGTTGGCATGTGGGGTGGGTTCAATGAACAGTGGAACAGAAGTGTCTTGATGAGGTAAGGCAGGTTTGAGAGCATTTAACGGAGGGGGAGTATTACGACAATCAACGACGGCCAAACCGGCCTTAGCGACAAGATTGAGAATGTGCGCTACACAACCGTGAATTTTTTGAGGCAAGTCGAAATGAGGAAGCATGGTTTGAAGGTGTTGAGCCATTGTGGTGTTGTTAGAAGCATTATTGGAGGTGATACAATAAAGTCAATCAGTAATGTTGAATTTATTCAAGGTATGTTTGAGGAGCGCTGCGAGATTAGCACCACTATGAGGGCCATCAATTGGTTTCAAAGCAAGCATGATGCCATGCAACTTGAAGTTGTCCGAGATCCAGTGAGCTGTGACGCCTAACATGGCAATGTTGCTGGGTGAAGTCCAGCCATTGCAGGTGATGCTGATATGACATATGGTTGATAGGAGGGTGGCAACGGCCATGCGAGTTGATTGAAACCTATCGACTATCCCATCGGAGATAAAAGTTTGTTTCAAAAGAAGCAAAAGAGACTGAGGGTTGACCATGGTTAAGAGTTCTTGGAACTCCTTGGCATTGACTAGCGAGATCCGGAGCTCTTGGTTCACAACAAGTCAAATCAGGGCTTCCTTGAGATTGGCTGGGTTGAGAGTCTTCACCTAAAGTGAAATAAGATAAATTATATAGTCACTTAAGAGATTGAAAGTGAAAAACACTAGGGAATAACTTACTGAGGCCACTTTACCATCAAGGAAATAAGCTGTCATAGTATGTTGGTATGTATTGACAGGAGGTTCAATATGGTGACATCTTGACAAGTGTCGGATCATCGACTTTGTGCTGGTGTTGCAATCAATGGCCATGTGACGGTTGCAGAGGGCAATTGGAGTGTTGGGATCTTCTTCCCCGGCAGCCAAGACAGAGTCAATAAAGCCTTCCTTGGCGGTACAGACATTTCTCATTGTACCCTTGATCTTGCGCTGGGAGAAATCATGCCAAACCAACGATGAACGACCAGTGGTGGTGGTTTCTGAAACCACCTCGGATACGGAGTCAGATGGAGTAATACTAGCTGTGGAGGTGGTACATGAGGTGAGAGAAGATAAAGGAGCAGCAGTGGACATGCTGACAAGGAGGACAGGGGCAGCGGGTCGATTTAAAAGGGTATTATTGTGTATTTCAAGGTTTGTTATGTATTTCTGGGATCAGCGCTAACTTTGTTCATCCAAATGCTTTGTCATCAGCACATTTGAATAGTTGGCTACTCATTGGGCCAAGGTCGTGGAGGTGCCTGCAGGGCTTTTGCCTCTCTCATCATGTTAGGTTTCAGCTGACCAGGGTGTGGACTGTATGCCTTCTAGATATTGTTGGGCAACCTCGGCCAGTCAGGGTCAAGACCGGGTCATAGCCCTAGTCAGGATGGGGGCGCAAAATAAAAAACACTCCAGGGTGCATGGTGCGCGCCTACCAATCTCAAAAACCAGGCTGGCACACCTAAAAAAGCTGTATGCCACATAGTGATAAATTGAGGCATTCCTTGTCTGATTTTTTTTTTCTCAAACTCCACTTCAAGCTTTCTTCTCATCATCAACCTCATCATTCTAATCCCAAAAAGCAAAAAAAACAGAATAACAAGGCTCATCAAACAGCTCCACAAACCAACATAATTCTCCCTTCAAATGGCTGCGGTAATTTTCCCACTTTTTTCATTTGTTGTTTTGTTTTATTTTTTTGCACTATGAGAAGACGTGCCTATGGGCCCATTTCTCAAAAAACACGCCTAGGCACACCTTTCTTTTCAAGGGCCGCAACCCCATCCTGAAGCCCACAGTCCTGTAATTAGGGCTCAGGGCTGACAATGATCTCCTACAATCTCCTTAATCACTTCAATCTCAATCAAATCAAAAAAAATCCAATCACCCTTCCTCTCTTTCTCTTTCCAAGTCTAAACTCTCAATTCTTTCAACTATTTTCTGGTTTAAGAAAGTCCATGTATATTTGATTATCTGATTCATAACCATCATCTATTCTAGTGATCATCATCATCAATCCATAACCAATGAAATTCAAAAAAATAAAATAAGAAAACTTAAGTGAAGAAATCAAATTTCGACTTTCACCTTTTTCAGAAAAAAATCAAGAAGAAAAAAAAGAAAAAAAACTATTGATGAAAAGATTTAAATGAATGAATGAATGTGAATGAGAATGAGAATCGAATTCAATGATCATCTACTTGGTTTACTAGCCAAAAAGACACCCAAGATCACAAATCCTAAGAACCCAATAGCAGCAGGTAAAACCAAATCCTTTGGAATCCCAGCCACCAATTCATCTTTCTGATGATCCTTTTGAACTTTCTTCACTCGTTTACGAGTTGTTTCAATCTTCATAGTTTGATCTTCATCATCTTCATCATCTTGATCTTCTTGTTGTAAATCATTCTGATGAATCCCATTTGATTCTTCCTTTTCTTCTGCTTCACTTACAGCCTTTAATCTAATAATCGAATTCACATTCTTCTTTTTAATCAAATCTAAATCTCCCCAAGTTTTACCTCCTTTCAAATGAATCACTACTCGATCTTTAGATTGTTTTTTTGCTAAATTCACCGAATCCGTTATATCTTGATCTGAAGTCATCAAAACTAAATCATTATCATCATCAAAATATGACATTTGAAAATCATTTGAATCAGGTCTTAAAGTTTGATCTGTAATACCACTCGAATCTTCTGATGGTAAGATAAACGGATCGGTTTGAAGTTTGCCTTGAATGATTTCTCGTACGAAATCATAACTATCATAACGTGCTTGAAATCGATGTGCCGAACCTGATGGTGCAATAAACTTGAAGAGATAAGTTCCATCATCAAATTCGATCGGTGCTCCTCCTCTTCCGTTCGCAAAGCTCATTACCCCACTTTTACTCATCAAGGCTGAATCAGCTTCATCATGAATCACTGAAGCAGAATCATTGGGTGCAAGTTCAGATCCAGGTGTGTCAGGTCCTCTACTAGCATGACGTTGACCTTTGAATCGGTTACTGGTGGGTGTACGTGGTGGAAGTTCACTAGCATCGAGATGAGAACCTGAAATAGCTGATCCAGCGTCATCATCTACCGAACCAGCTTGACCTAAAGAGGCAAAGAATCGACTCCAGACTGGTCCACCTGATTCATCTGTTTGACCATCTGCACTGATCGAGTTCACTTGTTCAAGTGTCGCGTAGGTAAGTTTGAGTACATCAACACAACCTTGAAGTTGACCTGCCTCATCCACGACTGGTAAGTTCAAATAGTGCCCATCTACAACATTTCGAACATGGACAAAGATTAGCCAACTGAAAAAGACGTGTATCAGGAAATGTAGATTTCACTCACCATGCATCTTGCGTAAAGCTTCCTGTATGCTAAGACTAGGTAATGCAGTATCAGGATGAGGTGTCATCACTCTTACCACACTACAAGTTCTTGCATCTAATCCAGCCGCAATGACTCTCAAGACGACATCTTTACTAGTAAAGATCCCTGCAATCTTCTTACCATCATTCTCCATCACACAAACTGCAGTGGTATGATGATCACGCATCAGTTTAGCCGCTTCTTTCACACTTGTTTTCACCCCTACTGTTGCTGCTGTCGTTCTGGCATCTAAAATCGATCCGAGATCTGGAAATGACATTTTATCCCTTAAAGCTTCTACATATGCCATCAATGGATTAGGTTGATTGATATGAGTAGCATTAGAACTACCACCAAATTCAGATTGAACACCTTCAATCGCATTATAAAGTTTTTGAGATGATCCATAGGCTCTTTCAAGTTTCTCTAATGATTCATGAAATACTTTGGTGATATCTAAAAGTCCGATCACGTCTCCTTCTTCATTACATACAGGCTGAGTGAAAATCAAGTCTATCAGATGTGATGATCAGAAGGTAACTCGTTGAAAATAGATGAGACAAACCAAATGTCTGAATCCTCGAGTCACCATTGTAGTGAGAGCTTCAGTAGCAGAAGTAGTATCACGAGTGACCATTGGATTCTTGGTCATGATTTCAGAAACGAGAGTTGAACGAGGATCAAGTCCATCACCAATGACCTACAAAGAACAAAAAAAAAAGAATCACCAATCAAAAATTGTAACTCAAACCTCAAGCTAATTTAAAGTAATGAATGAAAGACTAACACGAAATGCTAAATCCTTTGCAGTAAAGATACCACATAAATGTTCATCCTCATCCACCACCAATACACAATCAGTACGTTTGGCAGCACAAAGTTGAGAAGCATCGGCCACTGAATCAATCAAGTCAACCAACATCAATCTCTGGATCCAAACCAGATTGATAAATTGATGTAGAATGGTGATAAACTTACCCGTGATATTATCGGGTACAGTTAATGCTGGTAAAGGTCTTAAAGCGGATACAGTACCGGCTTGACGTCTAGGTCTAGGACCAGGATGACCAAGTCCACCAGTAGGACCACGTTTCTGACCTGGACGTTTACGTTGAAGTTCATTTTCGATTTTTTTTCTTATAGCCTAAACCAATCAAACACCCAAGAAGATGTCAATTGATTAGATTCAAGTAAGTGATAAGTGTGTTTTTTTTTGGGAAAAAGATTACCTCATCTTTCCTACTTTGACGTTGACGAGTTTCACTTGTGAGTAAAGGAGAATTACGAGATGAACTACTAGGTAGGTTAGATGATAGATCATCACCATAAGAAGAAGGAGGTCTAGGTAAATGATTACGATTTGGATGACGATTTTGAGAGGTCATGATGATAGGAATCTGATGATGAGTTGGAGATTGAGGAGGAGATTGAGAATGAGAATGAAGTGAAGTTGTAGTTGTGTTTGATTTGGATTGATGATGGATTGAGGATGGAATTGGAATCCTACTATTACTATTTGATGAATGGTGATTCATTGAGTGTCGAGACTCAGATTGGGTTCAGTAACCAGTTCACAGTGTAATCATTCAAAAGTGATCAGACCATATACCTGTCAAATCCCATACTTTATATTCTCTAAATCCATATTCTTCATTTCCTCATTCTCGGAGAAAATCGGATCTCATTCAACACTGTCACCAGCAAAGTCTCCAATTTGAACTTTTACTTATATAATTATCATCACATGACCTTCATCATTTTCACAAAAATCATTCAAATACAACCATTTCAACTTTACATCACTTCTTTTTTCAAAAAAAAATCAAAATCAAAAAACACCTTGTATTTCTCTACATACATCTATTATATTCCTATAAGAAACCCTGTTTTCTTCCTCAACAAACAAAAAAAACCTTATGTAAACAAAAACCCATCTCCTAAAAGAAAGAAAAAAGGAAAGTATGTATAATGAATCATGTTATGGTAAGAAAAAAAAAATTAGAATCAATCTTCTATTCTTCCTAAATCAGTAAAACCAAATCTTCATGATAATAAAAAAAAACATTCAATCAATTATTAAAAAAAAACAAAAAAAAGTACATAAATAAATAATCAAAGAAAAAAAAACAAAGGTAAGATTACATATTATATATGATATATGTGTGTGTGTGTGTATTTAAAATGAAAAAAAAGCAAATAAAACAAACAAATTCAAAATTCTTCTTCTTCTTCTTCTTCTTAAACCAAAACCTTAAATGATCGTGCTTAAACCAAACAAAAAAACCCGTGTATAAAACAAACATTTCAAAAAAAATGATAAATCAAAAAAAAAGAAAACCCTCGTCAAACTTTCCTTCACGAATTTATTCTTTGTTTTTTTTCATTCTTTTTTAACAGATTCATCATCCAGATCACCTAAAAGTACTTCAACTGATTCATCTCTATCCGTTCTATCCTCATCATCATTTCTTCTAACCGAAAGCTCAGCTTCATCTAATTCATCCTTTAATTTCCCTGCATCAATCGTTCCTAATACTTTAGTTGACCTTCTTAAACTTTTAAGTCTTTTCAATTCTTCTAAACCTCTACTCATACCTCCTACTACTACACTACCACTAGTAGATGGATTTCCAACATTCTCAGTCATAAGATCTTCAGTCACTCCACTTGGAACTTGATGAACTTGTGGAAATTGATCATGTGAAACAGATACCCAACTTGAAGGAATCGAAGAACCTTGATCAAGTAAATCAGAAGGACAAATTCGTTCAGTTGAAACTTGTTGAATGATTTGTTCTTTAGGATTCAAGTTTGAATAATCTTCAATGGGTCGGTTCGATTGATTCAAATTAGAATTCGAAATCGGTTCAGTCACAATTCGTTCAAGACTTGATGAATGATAAGAATCTAATGATTGTCTTGAAGGAACCGGTCCAGACATTCCCGACGAATGATGAACACTTTGATCGGGTGGACTCCGTTTCTTACGTAACGAAAACGTTCGCTTAGGAGTCTTACAACTCGTATGACGTTGTAAGAGTGAGAGATGGCATGGAGGTGATAAAGGATGAGAGGGTGAAAGACGAGGTGATTGAAAGGCTTGAAGACCTAATGGATTCATCGCACTCGTCGTCTTGTTTTCGAGTTGTTCAACTTCATCCACAAAGCTGGACGAGTTACCCATCCGATATCCATCCACAAAATGAGATGCAGCAGGTAGAAATTGAGTGTTTGTATCAATCGGTCTGTTAGGTGAGACCGCTCGGGAGTAGCTTTCATATTGTTCTGCTTCGAGTGATTTTCGAGTAGATGGCGAAGGTGGATGAGTTATGAATGAAGCGCGTTGAGACCTTATACCGGAAGCTCCAGTCGATTCTGCAAATGGTATATCTTCAAATAAGTGTTCATGATGATCTATGAGAACTTCCATGACCGAGTCCTGTCATCAAGCAAATCAAAACCGTCAAACTCTTTGCTCATCAGATCCCATCCCATCAGAGAATTCGTAATCCAAACGCTCACCTTCCAAGCTTGAGGTGGTAATTGTGTACCAGTCTCTTCGGAAAAGATAGCAGGTGCAAAAACTAATCCAAGATTACTAGAAGTCATCTTATTCTCATCTGAATGTTGAGAAACTCTAAAAAGATGTTCACAAACTAATTTCAATGTAGCTTGATGAGCAGGTGGAAGTTTTCGAATCTTTTTAGAAAGTACACTAAATCCGTTTTGCAGATGTTCTTCTAAATTCTTGGAAAAGATTACTCTTTCTTGAAGTGGAAAGTTAAAGAGTGGTGTAGGTAATTGTCTTAGATAAAGTTTTAATACTCCTGCAATGGTATATGGATCATGTCGTTCAGGATCAAATCTGAAAGCGTCTTCATCTCTGTGCAAAAATGAGGATCAGTCAAGATTTCAAAAAAAACACCGCTTTTGATTGAAACAAAAGACTTACTTTTCAATTTCATGCACTAGTTGGGTGACATTTTGCATTTTACCCGAGACTCGATAAATCCCTTCCAACTTGATCCCTCTGTGTTCGATTTCGTCTATACAGATCCGGACCAGCAATGGTACCCATCCTTTACCTGGATGACTAGCATAGTAATCATTGATAGCCACTCCAAACAATAAACTCTGACATGGACCTGTAAAAGCATTTTCATATAAAACTTTAGGTTCACTGAATTCTTCGTGTTGGAGACTTGAAAATACATGAGCATCTTCTTCTGGACTGATCTTATCTACCAAGTATTGAGCATGATCACAAATCTATAATGAAGAAAGATCACAAACTTGAAGTTAGTCAAGCTTAAATGAAATCCCAAAAAGAAACCATCAAACTCAACTGAGATTCTTGAGACGGCAGCCATACGGGTTTCATCAATATAATAGGCAAACGTATCTTTGGCTTCTCCTGATGCTTCAAAGACCATATCTTCAGTGGCTCTTCGAGCACCTCTGATCACTTGTTCTTTCCTTAATCGTAACGTCTCAAGATGAAAGACACCTTTACGATAATCACGATCTGCGTCTTCAGCTTCACGTTTGAGCTTAACTCCTCTAAGCGCAGAAGGTCTGATAGTTCCATCATCCGGTCCAGAGTTGGTGTTATTGCCATTGCTCGTCTTGTTATCTTTTCTAGAATTCAGTCTCTGGATCAGATTGTTGGTATTGTTACGTAAAGCATGTAAAACGTCATTTCCTTTGGCTTGTAAAGGATTTGCAGGAACAGGAATGGCAGTATCCCTAAGAGCGATAGAAGTAGCACCCGAGATGATGAATGATGGTCTGGAAGTACCTTGATTAGATGAACTAGGATTCACGCCGTGGTGTCCACTGTGTCCGAGTTGATTATGATCTGTAGATCTTCGAGCAGAATGATTAGATTGATTTAGATTTGGAATCCCGTGAGAGTCATTTGGATGAGATGGTGAAACTGAGGTAGAATTAGAGATATGTTCCCAATCAGTTTGACGTTCTTCTACCAACTTATCCCTAAACTCAACCGCTTCTATCATTGAATGATATTGATTAACTTCTTCACATTTTCGATCGTATTGTTTTTTAAGTCGATGAACGGTAGCCAAATATTCTTTATGATCGTTTATACTATTTCTTAAATCATCTCGAATCCGATTAAGCGTTCGATCTTTAATCGATCTAAACTTTTCCAATGGATCAATCACATTCTCTCGTATCTTTTTAATCCAATTCTTTCTTAGTTGAGCTTCTTGTAAAACACTCGTGGTGATCTCTTGCCAAGCTAAATGAGCCGAAGTTGAACCTAATTCATGTAATTCACCTGTTAACTTTCGATCTAAATCAACTTGACGTAATGCTAGCTTAGATAGTTGAGATTGAAATTCATCTTCAATTTCGCAACGTTTCTTAAAGAATGAGATATAAGCATCTGCTTCATGAAGTAATGAATTATAAGTATTTAAACTATCATCGGTTTTGTGTGATGAGAATAGGTTTTGAGGACCCGACATGGAGTTGATTGAGGTTTGGGGTAGGATATCTAGTGAAACTGATATCTGATTCAATTAGAAGTGGTTGATGATGTTCTTGATGGGATGATGATGAGTGTGAAGTTAAAGCCAATCAATTATTCAAAACTAATATTACTCAAGAAGTTAACAGAAGAAATTGATTAGTAAACTAAAAGAAATGTTATGTAAGTTTGGCAGGAATTTACCACCACAGCTTACAAACCATCAAACATCTCATCATCAATTTAAGCATTTCTATCTCACATACATACATGATACATACTACATACATACTGCTTCTTCTTCCAAATCGGTTTCAGCTTGCTTGCATTACCTTCACCCAAAATCATCATCACAACCGATCATCAATTCTTTCTACCATAGGGGTTCAACAAAATCAGATTCGTATAAAGTTCATCAATCAAACCAAATCACATCTTCTCACCCTTTATCAGAATCAGAAAACGGAACAATCTTCACATCTTTTTCCAGATGAACCCTTTTAATATGAATCAATCCAAATTCGAGATAATTCATCAAATCTGTACCTCGATCAACGTCTTTGGCCCCTTTTGAAGCTTCAGGAGTGATAACCTTTACAACAAATCTACCCAAGCTTCGAGGCAGTTATTGTCACGCCTTGTACGTATCCAGATGTTACAAAAACTTCCCTTCATGAGATAGTCAGTACTGTCAATTTTAAGTAGCTTGGCCAATCTTGAACAACATCTAGCTTGCAAAAGTCGAACAAATTGGTGTTCTAACTTCTATCAGGCCAAGAAGCTAACTACATAAAGCCTTCCGTTATGGTCCATTTAAACCTCATCTGAACCCTAGTCGATCCAAGCGTCTAGGACCCTGGCAAAGCCCAGTTAATTAGTATGGTGGGTTATCTTTTACTTTAAACCACTGATGCCTTTTTTCATACTGGAAAAAAACCCAATTTTTCAAACATTTCCAGTTTCATATGTTTTTCACCCCTAGCTTTTGAGAGTACGTATAAACTAAGATTTGGCTCTTATACCTCACGGACCTGCGTTGATTTTTTGGACAAGATATGTGCAAATCAGGCTTTGGAACAATAAATGATTTGGCATCAAAAACCATGATGACTTGATGTATTTACTTATGAGTGACCTGTGTTGTGCCACTGCAATCAAGACAGAAAATTTGATTTTGACTGTTCATGAAAGTGTATGGGGCTAAGGTTCAATACACTCCTGATACTTATCTAGGTCAAATCTCATGTTTGTTTTTGGAAATTTTGAGATTCATATGTTCAGAAAACCAACTTTCTTTTGTGGAAAATTGAAGCCATAGCCTGTAAGACCTCTATGTTGAAGAATCTTTGAACTTTCTGGGGACTTTGTTGACATTGGAACAACCAATCCAGAGGGATTGTTCATTGTGCCAAACAACCTGACACTGTTCCACAACCAGTTTTGGCCTGTATGATCATGAATGATGAATTTTTTGTGATGAATATTTGGATAGTTGTCAGGTTGGATCCAGTCTGATCCAAAAAGTTGAAGTGTGGGAAGTTCCAAGTGAGAGGTGTTACATGCAAATGCAAAAAGATGCTGTTGCAAACCAATCTCACAGATTTTATACACCAGGAATGATGGTTATGTCAGTGCAAGACATCTGATTTTGTGTCACCTGTATGCTCTTGGTGTCCTACACCACTACACCATGTAGGCCACAATGGGTTGGTATTCTTCCAAAATATCTTGCAGTCTGGCATCGGTTTGTGAGATTGAAAATAGGTTTTGAGGTATCAAAAAAGAGGGAAATAAAGAATGTACTCATATCTTGACTTGTACTCTGGATCTTGTCAAGAGACAAAGCTACAAGTGCAAGGTGGTTTGTGATTTGAAGGTCAAAGTTGCACATAGATATTATCAGATTGTTTAGCTAATCAAATGTTGCAATGTTTTTTTGTTGGGTATTTCTTGAACCAGTTCCTGATTTATGCTGGGGCTGGTACATACTTCAATATTTTTATGCCTGGTCAGGGCTTAGTTGTCTTGTTAATTAGTTTATTCTAATCATAACTAATAGTTATGTTCTGAATTTGGAAAAATAATGGGTGGGGGCTCACGCTCACACCCGGCAGCTTTTTTGGGGCCCAGGGCGTGGCCAGGGCCATGGCCTAGCATGGTGTGGCCCAATGTGGCCTTCCATCCAAAGAACCTCAGATCTGCTTTTTTGGTCGTGATTCCCTGCTTAAGACCATCTTTAGGGGGACTTTGACTGACTTCCATGCCCATTGAAGGCCATGAAGGGGTCGGTGTGTGGGCCACGGTGTGGCCTAAGCCCTGGCCCTTGCCATGTGCCCCTCCAGGGCGCCTTGTGGCTTTGTGGCACCGGGTGTGAGCGTGAGTGGGGGCTGGTGCCACATATCACCTCTTGTGAAATATGTTATCTTACATTAATTGCAAATAAGGTTTTTTGTTTTTTACCTGGCATTGGTTTTAATGATTGCATATTTAGACTGCAATTTTGAAACTAGATCATAAGGGATGTAGGTTATCATTTTGGTATATTATTTTATGGTATGTTTAAATATGTAATGACAGTGATGGATTAATTTATCAATATTCTAGAAGTTTCTTGATCCGCAAGAAACTGCAAGAAGCTCCTTACAGTTGACAAACCAACACCCCCAAAGTCTTTTGGTAAGCAACATTAACCCCATGTTTTGACAAGAAACCCTGTATTATCAAGTAGCAAGCCTTGGTCTCCACTATATGATATGTCTGAGCATGTTCATCAGCCCTTTTTCTCATCATTGTACACCAGACTGACACAAGTGAAGGTTCTTTTTTATGCAACTTGGTTTTCTGTGTATTGAAGGCATTGACCCAGGAAGACAAACAATATCCACAGGCATTTTCCGTCCATATAAGGTGGGTTTTTGTTTTCATTTGTTCCTCTCTTCAGCAGCAAAATAGTCAACCAATTAATATTCTTAAATCCGGATTCACCCCCCCCGGATTCTCAGAACCCTGTCACAACAACAGTGTTTCAGCCATTTGGGTGGGTGAGGACCGGGATCTCTCCGCTTCCCACTTACGACTCACCTAAGTGTAGCCATGGGTAGCTTTGAACGATGCCTAAACATTTCTCCTTCTTGCCCCCTCTATTTATACCATCCAGATTTCCATAATGTGGACTTTTACTTTTTCAAAAGCTTCCTTTGATCTGCATTTTGTCCTGGGCTTCTTGCGCTTACCTCGACCTTTCTCCAGCATTCTATATCATAAGCTGTGCTGGAATTTAAGCGAAGAGTCATCTTTCATCCGAAAGCAATGAATGCTTTTCAAAAAACCATTTTATCGTCATTCGCCCGGCAGCTTCTAAGCGCATTGTTTGCTTTTGATTGTGTAATGCAGCCAAAGCAACTCGAATCATAATATCTGCTTTTCTACGACATGAATGTACCCACCTCTCAGCTTCACCGATTCTCGGACAAAGACAACTACCACAATACCCAATTGATTGCAATCTACGCCCAATCAATCAAAAAAAACTATCACAAGATCATTCTCAGTCAATTGTGTCAAGAACCGCTGCCACAATCATACTAGCCCACATAAACCTTTGATCACCACAAACAACACCATCACATGAGCTCAAACCCACCCCAACTAATTGTAGTAGAATAGACCCTTCAGCCTCAATCTTAGGTCTATCGAGCTCACTTCCACCTACTTCTGCTACGCCATCAATGCAAACAACAACCCCTCCCCATCCAAATTTGATTCAACCATGAAGCAGAAAAGTATTGGAGGGAAGTATAGGAACTTCTTTAAGAAAAGATATCCATTCATCTGAATTCGCTGGAGCACTTACACTCAAACATAATAAATCTAAAAATTTTTGAAAAAAAATTACAAAATGCCGAACCTTAAGTGAGTTTAGTTCAATCTCGCGAAGTCACTCTCTCTTTTTGTATTGAATTATCCAATCAATATCTGCCTTTTTTATTTTATTTGGATTTGAAATATCAGATCAATGAATTGGCAAGTCAGTTAGATCGATTCAAAACAAAACATTATCAAATCATCAGTTCATCAATAAGGCCGTTGACGGAGTTGATCAAGATGAAGCAGATATTTATTTTTCGTTTTAACTGATCCTGCTCAAGCACTTTTAATTGATCGACATAAAGAAATTGGCACCGTGGGTCATGAAATCAACAATCTTTCTTTGAATTATTCTCAATCAACGATGAAAACAACACAGTGATCATCAACTTGATCATGATGAAAGCGTTAAGGCTCAAGCTCAAAAACGTTCAGCTGTTAGACCTCGATTAATCAAGTTGATTTATTTGAAAAATTCCCTTGATTGAAGATTCAAATATCTGATTGATCGATTTTGATTGATCGATTGATTGATTTTTTTACAGAAAGAATTATCAAGAGTTGGTACTTTGATTGATTTGACTATAACACTTCCAGCAGTAGAAAAAGTCAATTCAAAGAGAAGTAGAATAACAAGAACAATAAAGTCAAAGTTCTGAAATCAAAACTAAACATGTTTTAAGAGGTAGAAAAGTTGGAGTAGCTCCTACTGAAAGAACACGATGAAAATGAAGTAAATTGGGATGGGTGGTCGTAGCCTTAGTGGAGGAAGGTTTTGGAGAAGAAGTGAGTCTAGAAATCAAAATGTAAGGTAAAGTATAATCAGTCACTTCTAACTGTTTGTCCAAAAGCTAATCAATTTTTGCTTCTTTTGGTTTGAAGATAAAAGGGAGATGGAGTAGGATTACAACATCTGGATTACAATATCGTCACATAGTAATCCATGAAACCATGTTTGATTAGGGGATCAAATCACTCTAATACAATCTCAAAACAACTCTTGAATTTGAGGTATGAGAAGCAAAGTAATCTATGTGTATGATTCAATGTAAGGAGCAAAGTGGCTTTCCTTAGGATACCGAATTTGATTAATCCTCATATCTGCACGCTCAGAGTGAGCTTATAATCAAAAATTGTAATAGAATTCATCAATTGTTTGTTGCTTTTTAGGTTCATATTGATATCATTATGGATTTCAATCAAGATTTGATTGATCAATTGATTGAGTTGAGTAAGAAGCATAATTTCTTAATTTTTGAGTATCATACATTTGCAGATATTGGTAAATGAAGTACCTTTTTCCTTCAACTTCAGGTAGTTCCTTTGCTTAGACTTTTATTCTGACTGCTCAATGGATTTTGAATTTTTGATTTCAATACACAGATAGGAACTTCCTTCAAGCTTTAATATTTTTAAGGTGTTTATAGGATAGCCAATTTCTCATATCATCAATGCACACACAATACCAGGAGAGCCAGTCACCACAACTTTAGTCAAAGTAGGAATTCCCAAAGGTTGAACATCATTAACATCAGCCAAAATGCAACCTAAGGGTACCTTGGCTAAAAATTGATATACAATGGAAAGAATTAAGATCACACAACAATATACTGAATTCGGGATAGGATCTATTTCTCAGAGAAGATTTGAATCCAATGAAGAAGAAGATCAGCTGGTTTTGTGTCCTGGTGTTAGACTAAATGTAATGGGTGATACGTTGGGCCAGCATTATAATCCTCATCATCAAGTTGTTTTGGAATGTGGTTCAGATATGATTATTATGGGTTGTGGGATGTATATAAATGTTGTTGAATATAACAAGGTTCTTAAACAGACATCAAGGTAAAAAGATGCAGGGTAGGTCCCATTATCTCTAATGGTATCCTTCTTTCAAGACATGCTGATATGTCACTCACGCATGGTTTTTTGATGGTCACTGCTCTTGAATAGTTTCCCACTTATGTAACATAAAATGAAGTATGAAGGTAAGTTTAGCCAGTAAACACCTTTAAAGAAGCCTAAAATTTAGGTGGTCCTCGGCTCTTCTAAGAAGGAAGGCTACATTTTTGTAAATACAAATACTTCATCATAAGATATATCTGTGATTAGTGACTTTTGAAATACATGATCAAGTAGGTTTGGTTGTACAGGTCCTTATTCTTTCTCTTATTCTTTTGTTGTATTTCATCAATATGTTATGTGGATTAGTGTACATTAGATCAATCAAAACTTAAAAGGAGCTGCACAGGTTGAACATTTCAGAAGCCAATGTTAAGTTGTAGTATACATTCTTTAAGCTGAACTATTCTCAGTCAGCTTCAGCGGGCGGGCCCGCCTATGCCCTAGTATCTATGAAAATACCATCTGAACACATTTCAATTTGTCCCTTCCAAACCATCTTCTTCCGTTTAATCACTATCACCAACATTTGATATCCTTACAATGGCACCATCCTTATCTACTCTTGCTCCACCTTCATTGTAGAATGTACCCAGTCTTGGACTAGAAATCTCCAGTACCTCTGTTTGTTGATGCATTGTCAGCAGTAACATGATAGAATTTCTGATTGATGTTAAAGTTATGAAGACAATCAGTAAAATCTCTTGAAAGGTTGACATCCATCTTTGACCCTTCAATCTCCTGCATAGCTAAAATCACCTCTCAAATTTCAAATTTATCATCAATCCAGTGAGCAGTGATTTTCAGTATGAACAATGTTTGATGAAGGCCATTAATTGTATGTGATATTGATAGCAATCAATTGGTCCAATAAATCCTTGAGAAGGTTACAACTTACACAAAATTGAGTTCTAACACCCTCCAACACATTATCCAAACCAACAAGAACGGGAGAAATTTTTGGATTACAGATCTTGAGGAGGTCTTTAAACTATTCAAAATCCGCAACAGAGGCCGGCGTTTCACAGTTAGTGATCAGTTTGACAAGTTGAGACTTGAGAAATTCTTCAGATAGCTTGGGAAGCTAAGATACAAGTCAAGAGAAAGGGAAGAAAAAAATGAACAAGTTTGGGAACATGTTGAGATAAAATCAAGCCTGTCACATATAGCTGACATGTTGGTATTGTTCCATTTCAAGAATTGTTAGATTTAGTGTCATGTGTGTTGGATTTCTTTCCTTATTTAGAATTATTACTTTGAGAGCAGTTTTTTTTCCTAATATTCTTGACAAACATCATTACCATTGTGTATTTGTCTTCAACTTTCAATTAGTATATGGTGTTATACTTGCTTGTGTGCCTACTCTCTTTCCCATCTTTATGGAAAGATAGTAAGTTGTTTCTTAACGTTACCCTACAAATAGATCCTTACTGATGTTGACATACAATATGTTAGAGCTTCCAATAGAGATTGCATCATTAGCTTCTGGAAGCTTTTATACTTTTTGTTTCTTTTTATTACTTTTACCTCCCACACTTTTAGGTTAGGCAAAGGTCTGCATAGCTTAGAGATGGAGAGACAAGTGCTCACTGATATCACTGATTTAACAGGTCTTCTTAGCCATTTACAGGACATAGCAGGATGAAAAGAAAAATGTGATTGTCCCAGTTTGCATGAATGATTTGATTGTGACTCATTGGGGTTCAGCGGAAAGCAAAATTTTGTGATAATGTTCAAGGTGTTGAGATACTGACTTTGTGCTCTGAATTGGGTCACAGCTCATTGCAGTACCACAGATACCATTGGAACCAGGAGGTCGAGCCACCTGGCAGACAAATTTAGCTATGCCCTTGTTCTTCTGAGTTTTGAAATACTTCAAGTTCCAGACCCATGATTTCTGGTTTTTGCTCACTTTGGCTGTTTTTGAAGTGTTTGTAGATTTCATGAGATGGGAAGACATGGATCTTGATTTCTCTCCAGACTCTGATATGATTGTGGTAGGAGAAGTGGGAGCCAAAGTAGGGCATGGAGAGTGTCAAGGGTGTTTTGATGACATTGATTGAAACCTTGTTGAATGAATAATGAATATGCTTTCAGTAATCAATTGAATGTGGAAGCATATTCCACATGATTGACCTTTTCAATTTTTGGGGGTTTTCAAGCGATCTCATTAAGTTAGGTCTACCAGCGCGGACTGGCCCAGGAATGCTGGTCAGACCAGGTCCATCTCAGATTCACCCAGTCGGTTCTGGGTTGTTGAATTCTGTTTTCTTCTCCCAGATTTCAGCCAACCTAACAAAGTCACTCTTGGCAAGCACACCTGCAAGAGAGAGGGACTTTGAGTTATCCACAAAATTTGGTGTGTGAGCAAGAAACTTTTGGCTATGGAGTTTTTCAACCCGACATAACTTTTTACCATACAAATGCACAGCCTTCAGACCAAAGAAAGGTTTTGTGCGCCCACTCAACCTACACCTACTGCTTCTTTGAAATCTCTCCCTGGAAGCACTACAGAAAGATTTGTTGGGCAGCTTTCTTGGGTATTTTGATTTTTTTTTGCCAGCTTCAGCCTTCCACACAGCCAGCATAGATGCCTTGGATTGAAACATACAAGGCATCATCAGATATAAACCTTTGGACAGATCTTGTTTGAGGGGTTGATCCAAGGTATCTTTTTGCGCAAAAAGATACCTGATGATACCTTGAATTTTTCAATCTGAGGCATCTATGTTGGCTGTGCCATTGCTTCGCTGTAATTGCATCATAATCAGGGCCAGCAGGTGCACAGGACCTTCCTTTGGTGCAAAGACTGTTCATTTGTAGGGTAAAAAGTTATAAAACTCCCCAGCCAAAAGTTTCTTGCTTCACACACCAAATCTTATGGATAACCCATAAGTCCCTCTCTTGCAAGCTCGCTTGCCCTCCCCGAGAGGGACTTTGTTAGGTTAGAGATTTCAGGTTGTCTTCAATATGAAAAGAAATTCTACTTGGGCATTCAACCATCATCATAGAGCATGACTCCAGCTACAAAGTGTGAACCTGAGCATCTCAATCTGGATCGATCTGAATATCATGATAGCAACACTGAGGGCGCGTTCACTTAAGCAATTTCTGGTGAGAAATCGCATTCTGCAAAATTTAAAGTGTCTATTTGGTGGTGTATGTTTCATTTTTGCATTAAAAATTTTACAGAATGTGATTTCTGGTCAGAAATTCCTTAAGTGAACGCGCCCTGAGATGTATTAAGCAGCTTTCACCTATAGGTGCTGGATCGATGCGTCACATAAGCTTCGCTGGTGTCAGATGACAGATATATGATTTTTGTTTTAAATGTCTATCACACTCATCAAGGGACGCTAATCAAAGTATTTGGTGAGTAGCAAGTCAACGAAATTGATTTGGGTTTCCTTCAAGATTGTTCAATTTGGACAACTTCCAAGTAAGTGCCTTAACAGCCAAATTCTGATCTGCCTTGGTTCTGTGGAAGGCTTTCTTGAAAGTACTTTGTGCCGGACACAAACAGACCAAAATCCACATGGGGAGGTCACAGACTATGAAAGGTGCAATGAAGATTGAATTCGAATCTTTTGGAGTTTTTTTAAAAACCCAGTGACTGAGTTTACATGATTTGGTTGAGAATCAGATGAAGTGAGTGTGATGGAATGAGCTTTGTGGCCTGAAAGTTTGTAAGACCGAAGATGGTTTGTTTGGGAGCGTAGGCGTATCAGTCTTCACGGGAGACAAGAGACTACGAGAGACTAAGCACCGGAGCCCCGAGTCACTACAGCTGGGCAAAGCGAACTCCCGAGCCCCCAGTATCAGAACAACCATTGAAGTTCAATTATTTTGCGCCAAACGAGTTAAATATGTATGTAAATGGGGTGCAATCGAACTGGGAGTTCCAAAAGCATCCAGTGGCCAAAAGCCCAAGCCACCAAAAACATGCAGTGACCAAAAAGCCAAGCCACAAAGTGGGTACTACTGTTTCAGTCGGGTAATCTTTCAACCCTGGAAGGCTTTATAAGAGGGGTGTTTTTGCGAGTTGGTTTGGCTGTTCCCTGCCCATCACTGTGCGGTCTGAGTTAAAAAATTATGACATTGACCCCTTTGATCAAAACTTTTTCATGCTCCACAACTCACACTATCATTGTGTGGTCTAATTTGATCAATCCTATCTTTTTCTCGTTCATGTTCAACCACTCAGATTATCAATGTATGTGTAAGGGTATGCCCTTACAGGATACATGTGTACAGAGGTGTATGGGTTTAGATAGTAGTGTAGTCATCTTATTCGCCCTGACTCCAGAGAGGCTCTTCTCCTTAGGAGACTCTCCTACTCGGAGTCAGGTAAGATATCATTCTAGTTCTCTTGTTGTTTCTCTCTTATGTGTGTGTTATGGTGTGGATGCTGATGTTGAGGAGACTCTCCTACTCGGAGTCAGTTTGGAATTTATATAGAGAAGTTTTATAGGTGACTCCTCGCTGTCAAGCTGTCCCTACGAACCCAGTTAAGGTTCACTCTCTTGAACCTTACAGTATGGTCTCAGTCGGAATGTACTTCAAATATATCTATATCTTGTGTAGAAAAAAACCCCACAGGATTCACTTGATCATTATCTATCAAAAGTGGTAAATCTAAAGATGTTTACAGTACTTTCTTATAACAATTAAATCGACATAAGCCAAATCAGTTTTCTTGATTATGGATTTGAACTCTTTTTTTTATATGTCCTTATCTGATTAAATTTTGCTTGTAACCTATTCTCTGGTTCTGTTTGATGTTGCGCATATGTAGAAAAAAAGTATTAGATTTTCTTTATCAGACTACACGAAGACTTGAGATGGTTATACTTGGATTGGGGGCATCCAATTTACTAAGGGACTTTGTTAAGTTTATTCATAAGAGCATTCACTATTGTTGCTGAACAGGGATGTCAAATGTTTGCT